ACACCATCAGGTTCTCCGAAGGTGAAAGGCCTGCATGATCCGAGAGAAGGGATCCACGCATGTCGTCAGTAATCAGAAGCTTCGGGTCTAGCTCGGAGACAAGTTTCCACCGGCGCTTCCTGCGGGAAATGTACGAGACCATCGACTCACCGCCCTGTGCCCCACCTGGAACAGGATCTGGGCTTCCTGAGCCTCTATGTGGAAGAGTGAAGTACGAATCGCCAGCACAAGCTGATCGATTCCCTTCGGTGTCAGAAGCGTGCCTTTACCGATATCCATGGCAATATCGAATGCGTCGCCTCGGAGGCCCTCTACAACCTTGTTGACAGCTGAGGTGATAACGTGCTGCTGGGGTTCTCCCGTCTCGGAGTCTACTGGGGCCAAGGCGGCACTCACGCGCATCTCCGTGCGGAATTCCCATTCGTGGAAGTTGTTCACCGTGCCAATGTAGATGTAAGAGCCTCTCTTCGTCTCTGATCGCGTCAACGCGTCGGCGTTCGACCGATAGCGAAGAGAAGACAGCGCCATGGCGGCAAGGCAAGGCAAGGCGCAGTCCCCTAGTGAGGGAAACTGCTCAGCAAGTTCAGGCGATTGCTTTCTCTCTCTCTCTCTCTCTGGAGAGACGAGCCGCAGTGGCACGATGCGGGGATCGTGTTGCAGCTCCGCTGCCAGTGTGATTATGATACGTTTTAGCGCAGTGGCAAAAGGGGCCCCTAGAGGTCAAACGGCAGCGAGAGGCGCGCTGTCACACGTGACACATGCTTTATATCACAGACCACTTCCAACAAAACGATCTCGGCACTCCTCAACGGGTGCATCCAGCCCTGGATTCGGGCCAAGGGGGCGGGAGTGCAGAGGGGCTCCATTGCAGGGCGCCAGATGCTCAGCAGCGTGATGGAGTTGGATGGCCTTTCCCAGGCTGCCAGCTGGCGTTACAAGGACAGAGGAGACTTCGAGGCGATGCTCCTCGCCTTCCACTGTGCGCAGGCGTTCTCTCGTCTGTGCCTCAGACGTGGTTGCACTGCGCCCTCTCGGCTTCCAAGTGTCCTCGCCAGATTTGAAGTACCATCGTCCAGCTCTACCTCTTGAACCCTTGCTCGATGCTGACGGGGGGAGCGAGTTGCCAAATATTTTGGATCACTTCCGGCAGTGTACAGGGATAACCACTTTCTGGCCCGCTTTCCGTTGCCGCCTCCAACCCTCTTTCTCGGGACATGGAGGGGGCCATCCAGAGAAGGGGCCACGGGGCAGATCGGGGCCGAGCGGGCGACGCCGGAGGAGTGATCACAACCGCAAAGGGCTTGCGAGAGCTCGCCATGATTTTCTGGGTGGCTCACATGATCGTTGCCCTGTTGCTGAAATTCCCGAAGTGCAAAGCCGCGGGGCTGGGGGGGCCGCCATCTGAGGTTTGGGAGGCCCGCGTTCGCCGTCAGCTGGAGGCGGTCTGCTCCGAGTGGGGCCAATTTGGCATAGCAGGACGTTTGAAGTACCTCGGTTGTTGGATCGGCCCGACTAGCGCAGCTGGTATGAAATTGGGCGGAGCCCATGTCCCAGGTGCGGCTTCGTGTGGGGCAGATTGCTGGGCAAAGTGCGTCCTCGGCCATGTCCTTCCAGCGTTACGTCTCGAGGGCCTTCCCTGTCTCCTCGCACGTGTCCCAGCTCATCCCTATGAGCTGGCAATGCGCCTGTGACGAACGATATTAGTTCGCCCAGCTATGGAGAACCTCCAGTTAGGTGGTGGGTTGCCTCTGGACTCAGCCCTCCAGCTGGGTCCCGACAGCCTTGAAGACTTGGCTTGGGGGTTGGACGACGCACATCCATAGCTATGCAACGACATGCGCGGTGTCACCTGGGGTGCGATTCTCCAGATGATATCAGCTATCACTTGCTCTCGTGCCAGCCGCTGTCTGAATTTGGTCGCCGTGCCACTCGCCAGGCCCCGCCTGCGGATCGGCTGCCTCGTTTCGGCCTCGCGGGGGAGGGCCTCTGGTGCTGCGTTGGTTTCTTCCACGGGTGCCGCCTGTTTTGCTCCACTTGCCCGCTTTTCGTCCCGCGCCCTCACACCCAGCGAAGCCTTTCCACAGGTACAGGCGATAGCACCGGCCATGCGGTTCCCGAGGAGGCAGCGGTATCTATGATTTTCAGTCCGTCTAACGGGGACTCTTCCGCAGGTTGTGCTCTCCTGCTCATCATGCTGCGCACCCGCCACCTCCTCCCATGTACGCAGCTCCCTTTTCCGATTGCGCCAAACACGATGGGATTTGTTTTGGAGTTCCAGGCCGGCTATGGCACGCGTCCGCGGATAGGGAACAACATCAGCGCAATGGGAAGAGCTGGGAGAGGGATCGGATGGCAGATGTGGCGCGAGCGCATCTAGCTTGTCCCCCCTCTCTCTCGCCTGCCCCTCCCTTCCCTGCTCCTCCTCTTTGCTTCAACGCGCTCGTGGACATCCACCTCACACTGCATGCCCTGCACCTCGCCGTGCGCTCCCTCCTGGCACCCGCACGAGAGGACATTCTGAGTGCGGCCTCCGCTCCCCGCGCGCCTCTCTTCTCTCCTTCCGCTTCCCTGGCGCCGCTCGTCTGCCGTGTGCCCCCACGCCATGCTCTGACCGCGCCCTGGTTTCAAGACGCCGCCGACAAAACGAGTTTCAGCGCGCCCCTCTGGCGCCCGATCTCGCGGGGGCTTCCCTGCCCCGTCCCAGGCCCGTCCGCTCGCTCGGCCCACCTGGGCCCAGCGGCTCCTGCCGCCGCCGCCCCCGTTGCCCTCGGGGCCCCTCCTTTCTTCTCTTCTTTCCCCCGCTCCGGCTGGTCAGCGCGGGCGCCTCCGTCCCCGTGCCGGGCTCGGTCCCGCTCGGCCCCAGGGGAGGGGGGGGTGAAGTTTCGGGTTCGAGGTTCCAGCGTTGTCGTCGGCTTTCGGTGGGATGGTTTTCAGCAGCTGCGCCACGCCGAGAGCGTTCCGGGGGCGCCCAGGAGGAGAGCCGAACTCTAACCCGAAAGCCAAAGGCTATCGGCTATGCGTAAGAGTGACCCTTCGCGAGAGCGACCTTTGGTGTGGGCCCACGGCGGCCCCCACAGCACCTGCGTGTCCGCCTGGAATTGCCCCCTCCCTCCCATGTGATCCCATGAGCCGCGCACCAGAGAGCACCTCTAGCCCAGGGGTCACTCTTGCGTGTTGCCGAGGTGCAGGCATCGTGCTGGGATGCCCGCGCGCGCGGCTGCATCCTGCAGGGGGCAACCACCCGTCGCCTCCCGCGCTGGTATTGGCCGCCCGAGGCTCATGTTGCCGTGGAGACCGTGGAGGAGGAGGAGGAGGAGGAGGAGGAGGAGGAGGAGGAGGAGGAGGAGCAGGAGGAGGAGGCGGAGGAGGAGGAGGCAGGAGACCGGCGCGGGCCGCCCGAGAAGGAGCCTGCCCGAGGGAGACTCGGAGGCGAAGCAAGGGTGCTGTAACCAATGCCGGCGGACCAGCACGAGGCAGGAGGAGAGCGAGGGGCGCCAGAAGAGGAGCCGGCCCGAGGAGGCAGATGGGGGCTGGCTGGCGGGTTGGAGCGAGGAGAAGAGGCAGGCCAGAGAGAGGGCCTCTGCCAAGGGAGCATGAGCCCCAGGAGGAGGCTGAGGAGGTAGAGGAGGAGGTGGCGCGGTCTTCTAATACGACCGCCTGTGTTATGTCGTTTTCTTGTTCAAGACGGGCTTCGGTATAATGATTCTCATGTCCTCCGCGCTATCCTCCCGCGCTTCACTGTGCGGGGCCCCCTGTGGGGTCGTCTCCGCACAGGGCTGCGCGGGTGCCTGCTCCAGGCGCTAGGGGCGCCGGCCTTCGTCGTCCCCAGCGCCTGGCCTTCTCATGCCCGCCTGCGCTCCGTTCCGTGCGCCACGACCGCCTGCTTCGCGTCTCGCATTTTCTTGCGTTTGCCGAGTCTTGCCCTCCCCCTGTGCGCCGTTCGAGGCCCGCGCGCGCAGCTGTCTCCTCAGCGTAAGGGTTCTCCTTTTTGGTGCGCGGGCGGTGCTGTTCTTCTCTTGTCTCTCTGAGTTCGTCTCCCGCTCGGTGGTGCGAGCCTGTGCACGCTATCTTGTGCCCGCTGCGGCTTCCTTCACTTCTGGCATTCTTTGCGCCCTCGCTGGAGCTGTTCTTCCCCACCTTGCCCTCATCAAATTCAAATTCCTCGAATTCCTCCTTCGCGCCTGCACGCCGCTTGGCTGTGCTTCCGAGGCTATCCACGGTCCTCGTCGTTCTCGTCCTGTCCCTTGTGATTCCCTCGCCCTGGTGGGCTTGGGGCACTGCGTGTGCGCCAGCACCCTGCACGTTTTGCTGCTCTTTTCGTAGTCTGGTGGTTTCGACGCGTGGGCATTTCTTCCTCCCCCTTTTTCTGCATGGTCCCCTGCATTACCCGTTTGCCGTTATTCCTGCTCTGCACTGTTTGCATTTGCTCGCCCCAGCAGTCACCATGCCAACATAATGACCACTTCTTCTTGCTCAGGAGGGTCTGGTTTTCGGGCCGATCCTTACATCAAGTTCGGGAGACAGGCTCGAAGCCGGGGCTTACTCAGACCAGAAAAGCCATTTCATTCGTTATTCAGCGTTGTTCGCCTAGCACGATGACTGTCATCCAGAAGAGCACGGACCTTGGCTTGAGCGCGATCGTCAAATGCGCGGGGCAGCAGCCATAAAAGATCGACCGTGCTCCCTTCCCTCCAAACTGTTTCGCTTCCTTTGCCTGCTGCAGGCTGTCCCTTTCTGGACATGACAAGTGCGGGCAGGTCCGCGCACGATCTATGACGGGAATGCGCGATGTGTTCACGTAGCCGCAGCCATCTTTGAGTCAGGTTTTGGTCTCAGGAGGTCCCCAGTCCTCGGAGGTCCCTGGAGGCCTCCAGAGGTCCCCAGATACCCTGAAGGCACAGAAAGTGCCCCAAACGTCCAACAATTTCTATCCTCGATCCCCAAAGCTCGATCCTTGCTCCTCGGTTCTAATCTTCAACCCTCAGCCGTCTGCCGCCCAGGAGGGAAGACCAGAGGTCCGGCGCCGAAGAAGAGGCCAGATTTCAGCGCACTCGCGGCGAAGATGGGGAAGGCCAGCAAGGCCAGGTTGGCGGAGGGGGAACGGGTGCGTCCTCGTCGTCCTTGTCTTCGTCGTCCTCGTCCTCGCCCTGGCGTCGTCGTCCTCTTCGTCGACCTCGCCCTCGTCGTAATGGTCCTCGTCGTCCTCGTCCACGTCCTCGTCATCAAGAGGGCAAGGCCTGGTCCTTGTCGTCGTCCTCGTCCTCGCTCTGCTGCTTTGATCTCGCTGGTGCGGATTCGTCAGCCCAGGTTGCCCGCAGGGGCGGTAGGGTGATCTGCGGTTCACGCTCCACGGTCTGGGCTAGAGGGCCGCTCTTCGCCAGAGTGCTGCTCGAGAGCGCGAACATCTTCGCGCTTGTGTGTACTAGCAGAGAGGCCCACGTGTTGGGCTCCATTTACTCTTCCACATCGTCAGTGTGTGGAAGGAAAGAGGAGGATTTGGAGCGGGAAGGATGCTGGTGGTGGTGAAGATGATGATGATGATTCTGATGATGGTGGTGATGATGATGATGACGATGCTGCTGTCGATGAGAATTATGTTGCTGATGATGATGAGGAGGAGGATGCTTCTGACGATAATGATGCTGAACCGATGCTGATGCAGCTGCCGATGATGATGATGCTGATGATGATGATGATGATGAGGATGATGATGGTGATGATGCTGCTGATGATAATGTTGTTGATGCTGATGATAATGATGATGGTGCTGATGATGCTGATGATGCTGATGATGGTTGTGGTGATGATGACGCTGCTGCTGCTGCTGATGCTGATGATGCTGATGATGACGACGATGATTATGACGATGGCGATGACGACGACGAAGACGACGACGATGATGATGCTGATGATGCTGATGCTGATGGCGACGCTGATAATGATTGTGACAATGATGCTGGCGCTTCTGATGCTGCTGTTGCTGACGGTGGTGATGGTGGTGGTGATGACGATGCTGATGCTGATGCTTCTGATAATGATGCTGGTGATGCTGATGCTGATGACGATGACGATGACGATGTTGTTGATGATGATGTTGTTGATGATGATGATGATGATGATGGAGCTGATGATGAGGATGCGGATCATGATGACGATGATTCTGATTCTGATGCGGATGATGATATGATGGAGAGGAAGAAGAGGACGAGGACTATGACTATGGTGCAGTTGATGTTGATGTTGATGATGACGACGATGCTGATGCTGATGCTGATGCTGGTGATACTGATGCTGCTGCTGATGCTGATTATGATGCTGCTGGTGATGATGATGCTGCTGATCATGCTGATGATGCTGATTATGATGACGGTGATGAGGACGATGTTGCTGCTGATGTTGATGCTGATGCTGCTGATGATGCTGAGGAGTATTTGGATGATTCTGATCAAACATGATGGTGGTGATGAGGATGATGATGATGCTGAGGATGATGAGGAGGATGAGGAGGCGGTTGAGGAGGCGGTTGAGGAGGTTGAGGAGGAGGAGGGGGAGGGGGAGGAGGAAGAGGAGCAAGAGCAGGAGGAGGATGAGGAGCAGAGGCGTAATACTAATCATAATAAACAGAACACTAAGGCGACTCATATTAATCAGAGTACTAAGAGGGATACTACTACGAGTAATAGTGATACTACTGTGACGGAGTAGCAGGAGGAGGAGGGGGAGGAGGAGGAGGAGGAGGAGGAGCTTGAGGAGGTTGAGGAGGAGGCGGAGGGAGAAGAGGAGGAGGATGACCGGTGCAAACCCAAGAGTCACCCACGATGTTGGAACCCTTCCTCCCTGCTTCCTCTTCATATGCCTCTATAACGGTTTATATTTCCGTTGGGGGAACTGTCTCGTTGGAAGACAACCGTTTGACGACCCTGAAGCATGCCAAAACATCGTTCCCAACCAACCTGTGGTGTTGGGTCCTCGTTTTGAAGAGGCGGTCCCCGCGTTCCTCCTCCTCTCTTCTTTCCTCCTCCCCCTCCTTCCTCCTCCCTCCTCAAGCCTCGCAGCCGGCGGCGCGGCGCCCGCGGCGGCCCATGGTCCCCTCGCCGAGGCGGCGGGCGCGAACCCGCGGCGCGGCGTGGCGCTGAGGCCGCCCGGCACCGCGTGAGCTGGCCGCCTGCGGCGCACGTGCCGGCGTGAGGCGCGGCGGGGCAGCCGCGGCGCCACCACGACACGTGGCTTGAGGGGGGGCCCAGGAGGCCTGCTGAAGCCGCCGCAGCACATCGGCATGATGCGGGACGGCGCCCCTGGAGACGGAGGGCGCCTCTCTTCTGCAGCGGAGAGGCGGCTGCGCAGGGGCCGTGCCCGCCAGTCGGCGGACGCGGCCATTGCCAGGCTCAAGAAGCAGCTGCAAGACGACCTGGACGCCAAGAGCGCCGATGAGGTCGGCCACAGGGTCACTGCGCTCATCCCCATGCTGGGGGAGCTGCTCGGCCTGCTGCTGGAGGCGCAGGCGGCGCGCGACGGCGCGGGCCTCGGAGGCCGTGCCGCGCCCGCAGGGCTGCGCGCCGAGGCTGCTACGTTCGTGCCGCTTCACCACCTGGACATGAAGGGCGGTTGGCAGGGCGTGGAGACGGCGCCGAAGCTGTACCACGAGGAGGCGCCGCGCTGGGCCAGCGACGCGGGCGCGGAGGCTGAGCAGGTCTGTGTGCTGTTGGCGGCGCTGAACCAGAGCGCGGGGCCGCGCGTGGTCCCTGCGACGGCGGCAGCGGCGGCGGCGGGCGGCGGCGCGGATCGGGCCCCTACGGGGGATGACTGCCCTGCTGCTCGGGCCGCGCTGGGCAGCCATGCGGCGCCCCAGGCGCCTGCCCAGGCGCCAGCGGCCCTCTGCAACGGTGAGTCCCTCTGCGGAGGCGTGGACCCGTTGGTCGGCGTGCCCCTCCACGGAGGCGTAGGCCAGGCGCAGAGGGCCCCTGGGGGCGCCAGCATCACTGTGGCTGACGAGCAAGTTGATGGGGAACAGCAGCATGCAGGCCGTGAGACGGCCGAAGTGACACTGAACGAGAATGCGGGATCCGCCACGGGCGAGGCCGTTCCCAGCAGCAGCGACGAGAAGCTGCTGGACGACGCCCTCGCCAACGCCAGCATCTCGTTGGCGCTCCCCGTCGCGGTGCCTGCCGAGGAGGTGGACGCGAACGACGGCGAGAAGAAGCTGGACGACAGGCGCGACAAGGAGCTTCGCGGCAGCCAGGAAGGCGAGGCCGACGGCAAGGGCGTGGACGACACTGCTGCGCAGGTGGCGGCTGTGCGCGCGCCGTCTGGTGCCTCGCCTGGACTCCAGGCGCTCGATTCGGACAGCTACGTGGCGGGCAAGGCTGGTCGCAAGTCTGCACGCCAGAGGCGGAGGCGACTGAAGGCGGCCGCCAGTGCAACAGGGTGGATCGCGGGCAGAGTAACTGCCTGCGAGGCGGCAAGCGGTATGCTGATCATGCTGCTGGTGTGCCTTGCCGCTGCCCTGGTCCCCGCGCCCGACTCCACCAGCACGTACATGCTCATCCTGCCCGAGGGCAATGCGCAGCCCATCGACACCAGCTCCCACGAGCTGAGCGGTTCCATGAAGGTGCAAGCGGCGAAGCAGGAGTCTCTCGTCCGCAACCTCCTGGATCGCTACGACCAGGACGGGGACAACGTCATCTCTGCAGCTGAGTGGCTTGGCGCGGGCGCTGCGGGCGCGGGCTACTCGAACGGGGCAGAGCGGATCTTCCTGACCGTGGACCTCGACGGGGACGGCCTGATCGACCTTGCGGAGCTGCACGCCATCGCGGCCACGTACACCCGACAGCAGGGCGCAGTACCGCCTGCTGACAGCGGCTCAGCGCCAGTACGCGCTGGAGGCTGACTGGCTGCGTGGTCATCTGGACCCCAGCCCATGATGAGGAGGAGCGGGCCCGCTGCCCCTGAGTGGCCGGCGGCGGGCGCGCCCGCCCTGCGGCGCACGGGTGCTGTGTGCGCGCGCGTGTGCTGCGCGGCGCGCGCGCGCGCTGTGTGTGTGTGTGTGTGTGTGTGTGTGTGTGTGTGTGTGTGTGTGTGTGTGTGTGTGCGTGTGTGTGCGCGCGTGTGTGTGTGTGTGTGTGTGTGTGTGTGTGTGTGTGTGTGTGCGTGCGTGCGCGCTTTGTGTGGCGCGCGTCTGTGCGTGCTCGTGCCCTCACGTCTGTGCCCGCAGGATGCCGCGCGAAGGATCGAGCGAAGCGAGCCGCAGACGAGCTCGGCCAGGTGGGGGGGCGCCACGGGCGCCCCCCCCCCACCTCAAGAGACGTCCCAAGAGACGTCCTTCCTCCTCCCTCCTCCCCTTCTTCCTTGCGTTTCACCCACCCAGTACGGCGTTTCGTAGCCCCATAGGGAGCTCCACCGAAGGCCCCAGTGCCACCTCCACATGCGTCCCCCCGCTCGGTACAGCGTTTCGTGGTCCCATAGGGAGCTCCACCGAAGGCCCCAGTGCCACCGTCCACCTGCGTCCCCCCCACTCAGTACAGCGCTTCGTGGCCCCATAGGGGGCCCCACCGAAGGCCCCAGTGCCACCGTCCACATGCGTCCCCCCCACTCAGTACATCGCTTCGTGGCCCCATAGGGAGCTCCACCGAATGCCCCAGCGTCACCGTCCCCCCCCACTCAGTACAGCGTTTCGTGGCCCCATAGGGAGCTCCACCCACCGAAGGCCCCAGTGCCGCCGTCCACATGTGTCCCCCCCACTCAGTACAGCGTTTCGTGGCCCCATAGGGAGCTTCACCGAAGGCCCCAGCGCCTCCGTCCACATGCGTCCCCCCCCACTCAGTACACCGTTTCGTGTGCCACATAGGGAGCTCCACCGAAGCACCCCACCGTCCAGCGCATAGGGAGCCCACCGAGGCCCCAGTGCCACCGTCCACATGCGTCCCCCCCACTCAGTACAGCGTTTCGTGGCCCCATAGGGAGCTCCACCGAAGGCCCCACCGTCCACATGCGTCCCCCCACTCAGTACAGCGTTTCGTGGCCCCATAGGGAGCTCCACCGAAGGCCCCAGTGCCACCGTCCACACGCGTCCCCCCGCTCAGT